AGCCTTCAGCTTTCACGCCCCTCTTCTGTGGAGCCAGCTTCCAGTTTGGATTCAGGAGACAGACACTATCTCCAAAGGCTTAAAACTTTAATTTTTGTACATATTTAGGGCTGGATCAGGTGACCTTGACTGCTCCCTTAGTTATGCTGCAATAGGTGCAGGCTGCTGGGGGAGTCCCATGATGCAGTGAGTGCTTCTTCATTAGTCATCTTTCTCACTCACTATGTGTTAACAGACCTCTCTGCATTGAATCATACTTGTTATTAATCTCTGGCTCTCTTCCACTGCATGTCTTTTATCCTGTCTTCCTCCCCTCACCCAAACCGGTCTCTGCCTGGTTCTGCTGGAGGTTTCTTCCTGTTAAACAGGGATTTTCCTTACCACTGTCATCAATGCGCTTGCTCATAAGGAGTCATGTGATTGTTGGGGTTTTTTCTGTTGTATTATTGCAATATAAAGTGCCTTGAGGCAACTCCTGTTGTGATTTGTCTCTGTATAAATAAAATAAAATTGAATTGAACTGAACTGAATTGAGTTGGGTTCCTGCTTTGTTTTTATGGTTGTTCTGTTGATGTGTTTTAGTTTTTGTGTTGTTTGGGGATATTAAACTCCAGTATTTGAAGTTGTCAACTTGACCTAATTACAGTTCCAACATGCTTCACATCTAATTGTTTCATTTCCTGTTATACTTTGACAGTTTTCCCCTGTGTCTCTCTGTCTGATTATCCTCACCTGTGTCTTGTTCCCCTCCTCTTTCTAACTTATAATTGGCTTGGATTAGAGATTGTTTTTTTTTTTGTTAAACAAACATTCTGCTTTCTGTGTTTGTATTTGGCTCCTAATTTCTACATTCCACCTGATGTTTTCTGATGTTGTGTTTTGGGTCCTTGTCTTGGTTTTCTAATTCTGGGTTATGAGGTAGATTTTATTATACAGACTGAAAAACCCTCTGTTTCCTTTGTGTGCCTGTGTCTGTTTATTCATCCAGTCTCATTTTTCCTTTGGTTATTTCTTGTTTTACTGTGTGTAGTTGTGTCCACCTTTTTCCTCCTTTGTGATTGTTTCCCTCTGTGTCATGTTTCACTATTATTCTGTGCATTTTTAATCATTGTTCTTTGTCATATCCTACTCTTGTATCCTTATTTGTTTCTTTCTATCATTCCATTCATTCTCATTGTTTTGTCATCTTTCGTTTGGCTTGCAAACCTACCTCGACCTCCTGCATGTGGATCATCTGGCGCAAGAATCACACACATGTCAAAGAAGTGCAAGTAACAACTGTTTTTTAAAGGGCATTCAGCACACAGCTATCAGGAATCCTATGCACCCAACACAATATATCTCAGTTAGTTTTTGATACACATGGCACATACACACAAATATAAATTAGACAGAGTCATTAAAATTAATTATTTTTCACAGGACTCAGACAGATGGTCTCACATTTGACCATAGAGCACTTTCGTACACAGATGAGTTTATTGTTGACTCAGTGACTCAAAGGTGTTCAGGTCCCGTGGTTGCAAAACAAGCACAAATCATACATATTCCACCACCATTCTTGACAGATGGTGTGACATGTCTGTGCTGATACGCCGTCTTTGGCCTGTGCCATAAAGTCATGCTGCCATGTTTTGTTTTGTTTTGTTTTTAGAGAGAAACGGCTTATTTCTCTCTAAAAGCCATACTTCTACATTTTTTTTCTAACTGTAATGCCATGAACTTTAACCTTTAATATTCTGGGTGAGGCCTGAAGAGTCTGACATGACACTTTGTAGCTTGTGGCATTTTGTTAACTGTGATGGACCGAGCAGTGAAGGAAACTTAGGCACAGGTTAAAGTCCAAAAAAATTATTTTTTATTTAACCCAAAAAACATAATTGGTTAAATCATGCAAAAAGAATCAAGATCTTGGGCCCATAAAAGAGGTCAAAATAACAAAACTCTACTCAAAGTTGACAACACTACTGATAACTCAAACAAACTGACCTAACTTAATGAGACAAAGGGGAAACTTAAATAGTGGCTCATCAGCCCACAAAAACAGGAGAGGGGGTAAAACACACAAAACCTAACTAAACCTAACATAATGAACTCCAATTCCCCCCCATGGTCCCGAGTAATGGCATGAACCAATTTGTAGTCTTCCTTTAAAGCTTGCTCTGCCCCTTTTCCACCTCTTGGCTCCTTAATCAAGGGACTGGAACAGCTGCAACTAAGGTAACTCAGAAAACAAAAGATTAATCATACATAACAGTGTAAACTAAAATGTGCGCACTTATTTTAGAATACAGTGTTATGTGGATATGTGAATTAACTCTAAACAAAAACCAGTTATTTATTGTCCTGTAAATTAATTCCTATATTTAAAGAATATGAATTGTGAATGCGATGTTACTTATAAGCCTCTACACTAACATGGTGGGTATTACCACTGTGTGGCTGTAAGTGCAGCCATCACATTAACACACAGGTGAATCCTCCAGACCCACAAACTGCCAAAACATCTGCTTTTATAAAGGTGGTCACACAGCTGCTGTGAATAAAGTGCATTTGATTATCAGCACCCAGCTTCTACTCACCCTTACTTCCAATGGAAAGTAGAAATAAGTGTATACCTACTTTTTTCCAGGACCCTCTAAACATTAAACATTCTTTGAAAAGAAATTAGTTCCATTTGTAGCTTTTCTCAACTTTTGTATATTCAGCTTCATTAAATTTATCTTTACCAGGCATTTCTTTTTTCTGTTTAACTAATTTATGTCTTTTTGATGTGGTTTTTCCCCACTTTTATTTTCACTTCTGTTTCTTTGTTCTATTCTGGAGTCATCAAAGAGAAATGGTAAAAATAAAATACTTTTTATTATTGATTTACATATTTCAATTTAAATATGAATACCATCAGTCACATTACTAATGTTACATCTGTTATACAACGTGTAAAATGTTTTCAAGAACCTCAATAAGCGTTCAAGAAATGTAGTGAACACGGGAGCAAAAGTTTCCAGAAACCATCAAGCATCAAATCTACTGCATGAAAACTCTTATTTCTTTAAGTCTAATAAAGATATTTGTAAGTAAAGCTCATCCTGTGTGCGAGTCATGTGTCATACATGATATGAAGCACATTTAATGCTGGCATTATTACTAAAAAGCACATTTCTTCACATAATTGGGATACATGAAAGAGAAGACTCCATCAAACATCAAAATTATATCACATTCTGGGTCACAATTAAACTTACAACTCACAACAAAAGTAATGTTTGTGTTATGTATGATCTAAAGCTGCCTGTTCAGCTGTTTGCTTCTAATTTCTTTTTACTGAAACGAGGAGAACATCAGTTCAGCAGGATGTTGGAAAATCTTATGGGTCATTTGGAAGGGTTGTGGTGTTACTAAATGACTAAATGTGCTATTAAAATGTACTTTAATGCACTGATAACAGCATTGCAGTACATTATTTCCTTACTTGATACTGAATAAATGTAACTGAGCATCAGTCTTTAGTAAAATAGTCTTCATTTTAACTCTCAAACAACTAGTCTATTACTATTTTCACTGCAAAGAGGAGTTGCACAAATAAAATGACATTTTATTTAGACAATCCTATGATTTTTCTCACAAAACAAATTGTCTTTGTTTCAATAACACTAGAAAAATATGCATGTAAGTATATGTAATATACTTTTAAGCAGATTATGTATCATTTAACACCGAAATATGAAATGGTGACTCAATAATACTTTGATCACCGACAAATTACAGTGACGTTATCACAGTCAGGAGGTTTGTTTTTCGTCTTTTGTTACTCCCAGGCTCAAACTCAATCTGTGTGTTAATGTGTTATATGATTCTTTCAGCAGAAACACTCAAAATTCCCAGATTACTAAAATATCTAAAAAATAATAACGGTCAAAATTGGACTCGTAAATATGACATTATTACCAACAAGTCACAAACTACAATAAAATCAAAGCCTATAACGATAAAATAAGAAGAAGGTGGGAAAAAAATCATGGCAAGAAATAGTTCTACGGTCAAAAATATCACAAAGGCACATATAAATATAAGGCTGGGGTCATAAATGACTCCACACAGGTCACCTGAAGGCTAAAGAAACAAAAATCACAGAAAAGGATTCTTGACGGAGACAAAACTACAACAAAGTCTTCATCTTTGGGGCTCCTCCTCCCTGATGACCACACTGTCTGAAACCCAGTAATGGTTACTGCTTTTTTCCAGCATTTCTTTTTCTGGTGATGTTGGGATCCTTTAAAGGAATGTTGGCACAAGTGCAGATGCTGAGGGTGCTTCTAAAGAACACTGAGGATCGGATGATGACTCTGTGGCAGCGCTCACAGTTCTGATGAATCTCGCTGAAGTTGGACGGTCGCTGGGCCAGATCCATGAGGTCAGCCTCTGGGTAAGCAGCTGCTGGTTGGAGCAAATGTGCCACTCCAGTTCTGTAACATCAGTGCTTTTAACTCGAGGGATACGACACCAGTATCGTCGATCGACACATGGCGACACAGGTCGGTAATCGTGCCCGAAGACCTTCTCAACGCGATAGTGGACGTATGCAGTGCGATACTCCATGAAGACTCTGAGAGGCCAGGAGAACGTGAGGAAGGAGGCAAACCAGAAGACGTAGTGGGACAGATACCAGGGGTGGTGCTTTGGGTCACAGAGCACCAAGACATACTCCTTCAGGTCATTGTTCTTCAGATTCATGTCTTCTCTGGCTTCCATGTAGTCATCCAGGCCCTCGTTGTCGGTGAAAAACCTCGCCCTTTGTGTGAGATAAGAATTCTCGGACTCTACGTTGGCAAAACTGAAGCACTTGGTGAAGCGCATCTTTGTAAGCACAGACTTCTCCAAGCCCAGCAGCTGTTTGGAAACATCTTTGACACCACAGTGGCTGTAGTCAAATTCTGCTTCTGCCACCTGGGTGTCGAGGCGCTCATGGTAAACCTGGGTGCAAGTATAACGGCGGTAGCGCGTGACTTGTCGAGTTCGGCGCACATAGTGATAGCTGAAGGCCTTCCACCAGATGCAGGGCTTAGCCTGCTGCATCTTCTTGATGTGCTCATAGATGCCCTCCACGTCCATTTTGTGCAGCAACTCATTCTTCACGTGACAGTGCCAGCACTCCAACAGGTAGACTAAATAGAGCATGCCCAGTAGGGCCAAGGGGATGTAGATGTAGCCATCAGAGCAGGGGCTGTCATGGTACATCTTGGATTTTCCTTTTAAGGCACTGTCGAAGGTGAAACGGGTCACTTTGGTGATGTGACACCAAACCATGGCTCCCATGCAGCCATACATGAGAACGGACAGGAGGAAGCATTTCCAGAAACTCTCCCGACATAAGGACTTGCTTAGAGATTGCTTCAGCGGTCTTTGCTGTTGATTGAAAGCACAAACATAAGAAGAAACATTTTAAAAACTGATCAGGACATATTTATAATCCTATAACCACCTAAACTCTTTGTATCCACAATCTCGTGGTGTATTGTACAAGTCCTCAGGTCCTGTGGACAAAATTCAGCATTTTGCAAATACTAATCCAGCCTGCATTATGCAACTTTGGAAGGAGAAGGTTTGCTTTTTTAAAGAACAGTTTGTATTTTCATTCAAACTGCACAACATTGCAGAGTTTAGGACTGAAATGCAGGACTCTGAGATGGCAGATGTGAAAAACTACTTTTACTCCAGGCATGGTGGGCAAACTTCAAAAGTCCAAAGTTCAAACAAACTTAACAACAGTCTGGCCTGAGTAATGCAATGCTATCTTACAGGGTAAAAACACTAATCAGGGCTAATCAGGGGAAGTGAGCACAGCTGGGGGGAAACTGGGAACATGTTAACAGAATCTAGATAATGAGGTAAGATAAATAAAGGCGATTTTATTTATATAGCACAGAAAATACAGGAAAAAAAACAGAAATCCTTGTAGGTTTACAATTCATTAAGGCAGTGAAAACAATGAGATATAATTTTTTTTAAAAGCCAATCAAAATTAAGCAAAAAAACAAACTTGAGCGTGGTCCTGTGTGAATAGTAAAGGTAAAGAAAAACTAAAAAGCAAGGCACAAAAGGCAAGAAGAATAGACTTGGCAAAAATATACAAGAGGATGAAGAGGAAGTCTGGAACAAGCAAAGACTCAAACATGACTCTAAACACAAACTAGAAAAAATGAAATTGGCCACAGAGGCGTTACTACAGTAAAACACAATAAACCTACAATGTAAGAAAAAAAAAACAGAGATTAATAATGAAGAATTCAAAGTTCAAAAAACTCTAAACTTCATGTTTCAAATGAGGAACATGACAAGTATTTCTATATGTACTTGCTGTAAAGACAAGTTTCATGGTATGGAGGACAAAAATGGCTCAATTTGAGTAGTAAAGCTACGATTTAAAGTTAACATACATAAAAGCAGATATTAATTTGGTTGAAGAGAACAGACATTAATATGCTGTCAGTTGTTTTGTAATTCTTTTTGTAAAAAACAAAATAGGAAATTAAAAGTATTTATGTTTACCCTTTTTGATCTACGTTTTCTCTCATTTCATTTATTTCTATTTCTCAAAAATAATTCATAAAAACGAGGAACTGTGAGAAAACATTACTTAAAACATGTTTTAAATAAAACGAACAAATTAATAAATAAAATTGAAACTTAAGTGGAAAACTAAATAAACAGGAGGATAAGCAGAGTGAATCTGACACCTGTCAGATCATCCACCTGCAGCGTGTCACAGCCTGCACAGCACGCGCGCGGACACAATAAAAATCAGCAACACAGAGAGAGAGAGAGTAGGAAAAAAGAAAAAGAAAAAGAATTGCCAGAAAATTCTACCTCCTCTCTGGTGTCCTCCTCGAAAACGGTGGTGGTGCTGCTTTCACTCGCCGTCGCAGCCGATGGTGGTGAAGACATGGTGCTGGGCAGCTACTGGTAGTGATGACAGGGCGTGGAGGAGGAGGAAGAGCGAGAGATTTCACCACCTTTGCTCCACAGCGACCCTC